TTTTTWAMCCYTTTTTTTATGGGGTTTCGAGAATCAAGTACATTTAATATGATATTGGTGTTGTGGCAATTTCTTCGATTCTGAGAATTAATTCTCGGAGGAGGAGAAAGGTGAAACATAAAAAAAAAAAGTAGTGGGGTTGTGGGCTAATTTGAACCTTTTGCTGTCTGTCAGTTGAATCAAATAATTAAACTAGAATTGAGTTCATCATTCGGTTGTGGAATGTGTTATGTGTTTAATTTAATAAGCCGTGCGCTTTCTCTGGTTTCTCCCATTTTGTCCCCCTTTTTCTGTTTTCTGACTTGCCCTTTGTCGTCTTCGTTATCCCATGCCTCTRTTTTTGTCCAAATCGTTGCTCATTAATGCCATGGATTTGCATTTATCGAGCAGGAGGCGAGATCTTCTGCAGTTGCTGGACAGATACTGCCAAGTGGTGAACCAAAAAAGGGATTCGAAGCCCGATTTCTCTGCTGCTGAATATGATTTCGTTTATCTGCCCATGGATTTCAGGTGGGTTTTGAATGAAACCCCATTATTTTTTGTTCTTCAACGTTGCCCTTTTTCAGACCATTGTTACAAATTTTGGCTTGTTTTTTGCTTTTTGGATTCACAGGAGGTCTTGGTTTGAAGGGAAAGTTTCGAATCTTGGTTATGCGTTTGTGAACTTCACCACATCCATTGCTGCATCCCAGTTTTGTACAGTTTATCATAATTACAAGTGGGATGTTAATGTCAATAAGAAAATTTGTGAGGTCACTGACGCTAGGATTCAGGTAATTTCACTTCTCACCCACTGCTCATATTAGAGTTTCAAAATGAGAAAATTTCTCAACCAACAGTTTAAATTGAACTGTGTGTTATAGGATGAATCTTAATCTTTTAAACATGTCTGTTTGGGGAACTTCAGGGCAAGGAAGCTTTGACGAATGCATTCAAGAACAAGATCTTCTGGTGTTGCACGGATCAGTACTTGCCCGTGATGTTAACTCCGGCGAGCAACGGTTTTCGTCGTTACAGAAGGGTTAACGTCGGGAAACGCATACCCCGCGTCCCTCGAAAGCCATTGAAGAAGCTATGCAAGTAGTTAACAACCCTCATGGTTATCTTTCAGTTGGTTTTTTTTACTTGTTTGTAGGATGATGAGGCAAAAGGGTTTGTGTCTTGTGTTTTCTCTGTCTCCCTGACCGCCGCAGTTTGTTTGGGGAGAATTTGAAAACATGAGTGTTTGTTTGTCTGTCTGTTTTCCTCTTTACCAGTTAACTAAGATAGGGGAGGATGTTGTGTGTGGCAATGTCTATGAATTGGTCACTTTTTGCTAATAATATTCTCTCCTGTTTACTCGGTTGTTTAATTTTCTGTTCGTAATTTGGCTTGATGATGATTAGTGTGTTCTATATTATCTGGTATAATGGGCTTTTCTGAATCAATATTGTATGAGATTGAAATTTAATACAAGTTATAGAACAACTGTTTCTACGTACTACCGGAATATGAAGCTTATTTTCAGTGTTTGAAGAATGATTCTAGAGCAAATTTTAGAACTTCTTTGTTGAATGGGTTTTAGAAAGTTAGGGTTTGTATGGTGATGTCACTGTTCATCGTTCTGTTTAGTTTTTTTTACCGAATAAAAAAATAGTTGTTAATATGACAAAAACATGGAATAAAATTAGTAAAATAACAATTAAATTTAATTTTTTTTTAAAATATAATACTTTTTTTCCGCTAATTAAAGGTTTAATTTTAAAATGATAATTTTATTCAAATAAAGACCACAATTTTATTCAAATAATAGAGATCTGTAATATATATAGGTACTATTTGAAATATATCTAATTACTAATAAGTGTATGTAATATCATGGGTATTTGATATGTTTGTTGGTAATATGTATATGATATATTATTGATATAAATATATGTGTAATATTTATGTGATATATATTTGATATTTTATTGATATGAGTATCTGATATACTTGATGTATCTGATTTGCATATGATATATTGTTGTTATAAGTATTACATGATATATTTGATATACTACTAATATGAGTGCACATTTCAAAGTTAAAAAAAATATATAACATATTTTGAAATACATATACTCTTTTTAGTAATTAGATATACTCTTTCATATATACATAAATACATATACTCTTTCATATACCCTATGAAAGAAACAAGCCAATATTTTTCACGTTTCTTTTTTCTTTAGTAAAGAGAAATATAATTACATGAATCCAACACTTGTAGATTCAAGGTGATAAAATAAGATTTTTATTTATTTTGGAACAAATTGGAAATGAAAACAAAAACCAACTTATTATTTTCCAAATTTTCTATACAATTTTAATGTTTGAGCTTTACTCAAGAACTCGCTCCATGAGAAAAAAATCTGCCCAATCCTCTCTAGAAAAAGTAGGGAGGGGAGGTTAGTGGCCTGCTCCCTTCCTCTCTGTGAAAGGTGTGCGTTTTCTCTTAGTCCTCCAACTGAGTTTTTTCAGAGAGTATTTTCTCTCTGTTTTGTTCCAGTTTTTCTGTAGATTTTTTTCAAAAAGTAAGTAGAATAGATCATAATATAATAGGAACCTCTCTTGTTGTGGTGGAGGCGATGCTCAGGGAGGATCTTCGCTGCTAGTTTCTATGATGGTGGACGATGGTCGAGTGTTGGAGATCTTTTCGTTGGATGTTTACCATGTTGTTGTGGCTGATTGAACCAAAAACAACATTGTTATGTATGGTATGTGGTTTAGTCATTTGGGCATTTTGAAGGGTTATCAGACACAGAAGTAGAGATGGCACTCGCTTGCGATCTTTCGGGATGACTCTTCATATTCGCTTTAATATGGTTAAGAGAACTTCCATGGTCCAAGGGCAAGGAAGACGGAGCAGCAGATGGGCGATGGCGGAGTTGTAGCAACAATCGGTTCAAACACCATTTTGGAATCTTGGGAGGCTATTAGTTTTAGTTGTATTAAGATTTGTGATTAGTATAATTTGGGGAATTTACCTAATTCTTCCTAGAACATAGGTGCCATAATTGACAAGATACCTTCACTAGTTGAGGATTCTCCCCGATGACTTTTGAGAAGGTGTTCAGTGAGCTAAAATTTGTTCATATTTCTTAGTTCCTTGAACAAGCAAGTGTTTTATTGACCAAGTGTGCTATTTCTGATAGTTTCTATGTCATTTGGAACAATTGTTTTCCTTCATAGATTGTGGTGGTGAAGTGTGGTCACCACTCTTCTAATGTGACCCTTAATGGTCTTATTCATATTTAATGCAACATTTCTATACAATTTTGAGGATGTTTTTAAAAAGTGAAAAACAAGTAACATAAATAGTTATCAAATATATACATTTCTTAATTAAATTAGAAACGACATGAAATGGAAATGTTAACAAATAGCTCTAAATAACTTATTTCTTGTTTTCCAGACTTAAAAAGTTAAAAGATACATATAACGTAATTCCGGAACAATCCTTTTAGACAAAAAGAGAAGAAATTTGGACAAGAAAAAAAGTAAGTTAGAAGGACTGCAAGAGTATTAGCTAAAATCTGTATGGGCGTAGGATCTAATCTGCAGAGTAGTGCATTGGGTTTGCTACTTACAAACAAAGGGTAATCTGATTCAGAATAGCAATTTCAGAGGTTTGGATATTAACCAATATTTTTATAATTCTTTTAACACTCAACAGTATAGAATGATAAGGGAGAATATTGGAATTTCATACTTCCTTAATTGTAAATAGCTCAACCAATTTCTCGACTTGACTTGGTTCAAACTGGTTCGGTTCGGTTTGATTTTGACAAAATTTTCCTTTTAGTGGGCTTGCCAATGTAAGAGCGAGAGGATGGGGGAGAAGAGAGAGTCATGGTCGTGGGGCCGATCGAAAAAATAATACTTAGCTACTCATTGGTCTGTAGCAATTTCATGCTAAGTACATAAATGTAAAAACTTTTTAATTACACCTCTTTCATTTCAATTTTTTTTTTCTTTCTAAGAATTGTCAGTCCTATCGAGCTTTCGAAGCTCGAACCTAGAAGACATAAAAAATTTTTGGTATTAAACTCACCAAAAGGTTAAACTTGAAAACTCTAAGTCAATATGACCAAGAGGTCCCAAGCCCTAACCAACTAAGCTGTCTTGAACACAAATCTGAAGGGTTAAAATCTTATGACTACTTAATAAATAAAACCAAAAGTTTAATTTTACACATAAGTTCCTTTTTGGATTTAGGGTGTGTTTGGGAGTAATGATAGAGTAAGTGATTTTGAAAAAAGAGATTTAAGTATACCCGATTTTCCAAAATTACCAAGCAAGCGATACAAAATAAATTTAAAGTGATTTTAAGCTTTCCTAAAATCAAAGTGATTTTAAGCTTTCCTAAAATCAATTTTCCGCACAGTAAAAATGATTCTCATATTTTCTAGTACAAGACTTGATATAAAGGTGAACCATTATCATTATAAAACAGGCATTAGAAGTTTGAAGTAGCTATAATAATAAACCACTCCTATATTGTCAATTTTGCACTTAACAGTTCATATTTACATGGTGTAATCCTAATTTATTGGAGTTCATGATTCATATACGCTTATGAGATATCCAATCTAATTTTAAGAGATTTAAGTTATTTATTTCATTCATTCATCTCTTGGAAGGTTTTGGTTCATTATGTTTTTTTCTCACTATCTTGGCTTAAAGAAAATGTTTGTATATCTACTTTGATATTGTTGCGTTTCTACTTATTTTTTTGTTCATGGTATGGAGAAGCACAAATAAACTAAATGATCTGTTACCTAAAGAGTCAATACAACATCACCCTTTACAGAATGAAGCATTTTGATAGGGTGGGAACATCTAAAAAATAGAACATGACAGCAATAACAGAATGTATTTGCAAGAAACTATATTTCAATGAGGAGATTAGAGGCAATTCTCGAGTTAAAACAAGAAAAACTGAGCTTTAAGAAGATATTTTTACTCGGTGCAATCAAATAACATTCGGTTCGATCACAACGAACTCAGCGAGGAGCCTTCTTCTTCCCTGGAATAGCAACTTTCTTACCCTTCAAGGTCCTGCAGTTGTTTTTGGTTCGCTGCCCTCTGCAAGGCAATCCCTGAATGTGTCGAATCCCTCTATAGCACTGAATCTCTTTTAATCTCCTTATGGCGAGTGCATTGAACCGCCTCTGCAAGACAAACAATCAAACTTGTAAGCACAGAGAGACCCAACATTTGTAGTTTTGAGCTACACTTTCTCTCAACATACACAGACAGAGAAAGAGAGAGACCAGATCTCCTTCAATCATGAACTTGGAAACTTCATCTCTGATGGATATGAGTTCCTCCTCAGATAAGTCCTTGGTTATCTTGTTCTCCAGGCTTAGATCATACAGTATTTTCTTAGCATTGTTGCGACCAATTCCATGTATATATTGAAGGGAGTATTGAATTCGCTTGTTGTTGGGTATTTCAACTCCTCCAACTCGAACACACTTGATTTGAAGACCACGAACCTAAAGAAAATGTAAGGAAGAAAAATGAGGGATTACGCAAGAAGAAGATCTAGGATTCTTAAATAGTTACGGACGACTGCAGATTTCCAATCAAGAGAACAACCCATACGAAAAACTTGATAATATCTAGCATCCACCAACGAGTCCAAATTTCCATATAAGATCAGACAGTAACCTGCAGAATCTACTCTTTCAGTCCATTTCCTATRGGGTAGACCATATATCCGCTTAAATTCTTTATAATCATGCACAGAAAGGGTGAGGGAAACTATAACACGGATTGCGGAATTTGGGGGAAAAAATTAGGATCACGAATTTGGTTCCTCCGGGCGCAATATCAGTTCCGGAAACGAAATGAAGAACTTTTGTTGCATCAACAGTATTCAATAAGGAATAACTCAAATGTGCATTGAAAAGGAATTTCAAACTCAATCGAATTCTAATAATTTCAAAGAATCAACTTGCGATAATGGTACAAGAGAAAACGGAATGCAGAAAGAAATACGGGAATAATTTGTTAGACAATGGAACATAAATGGAGAAGCAGAATCAATATGAAATCAAGAGGATACAAGAAATTATGGAAACAAAATTATAGAAACCAGTAAAATTGATGAAACAAAGTGGTTAGAGAAAATTAACCTGGGGGCTAGAAATGGGAAAGGAGAGGGTGGTAGAGAGCGGATTAGGGTTTCGACCATTGCAGATAAGGGAGAGCGAAGGAGCCACGGGCATTGCTAAACTCTGCGCCATTTTCTCCTCTCTTCCAAATTCTCAACTCCGACCGCCTCTCTGCTTTCACTGGCCGCGCCACCTTATCTTCATCCACCTCACGGGATTCGGATAAGGGCCACCTCGTACAAAATTTAGAGGCCCAAACTAGGCCGGAATTAGTATGGGCCTGGCCCGGCCCATTAAGAATCAGAACAAAATACCAAGGCCCAGCCATGAGTTTTCATCGTCCCTATTGATCATTAAAAATGGAAACTCGGATTCTCTTGAATACGGGTTTGACAGGATTTTGGATATTTGTTTTTCAAAATTGTTTTCGGATTCTGTGATTCAAACCATTCAAAATTTGAAAATTTGAAGATGCAGAATTACATTAAAAATGATAAAAACTTTGATAAATATATTACTTCATATTATAAACTCATTTTATGTTTGTTAAAATTAAAACATGTAAAATATAATGTATTCTAAATTATATAACCTTGTAAAATAACAATTATACAAAATTCATAAAAAAAATGTTAATAAATTAATTAATATAAGTTTAGATTAAACTAAAATTTAGTTTGTAACTATTTTTAATTTACAAATATATTACTAAACACACATTGAACAAAAAATACAACTCTGGTTTGTTATCTTTGAATTCTTTCCAGTTCTTCATTACCAGTACCAGCGATAATAAATGCCTGATCAATATCATATAAATTACTCTCTTGTTTTTAAAATGCGATCTATAACCTTTATATTGAAATATTTTGGACGTTTGTGTGTCAATGTAATGTCCCAAGCAAAATGCACAAACACTTCATTCATCACGTTTATAGGTCAACGAATTCCACAAGCTACACAAATTCAAGTTTCAAGCTATATTAACCCAACACTTTTGAAAATCTAAATTTCTATAATTCTTCTTCTGCACAATCCAAGAATTTCACAAGTCAATCTGACTTGTCAGCACCAAGAGCTAATCATTGCAATCGAATCTCTATTTGTGAAATGGTTTCCTAATTCTAAAACCGTTTTCTGCTTTTTAAATAGAACTTAGTATATATTTAGTGAAATGGTTACCAAAATCATAAACTTGTGAAAAACTACTGAAATTTACAAAAGATTTAATCTAGAGTTCCCACCAAGCTTGCCCTGGCCCAACTGCAGAAATCAATAATCATAAAAAGGCTTTGTTTTACCCAAACGATTTTCACCAATGCTGGACAAAAGATTGTTGAGAAGTTTTTGTTGTTTCAGTAAACACCTGAAACGTATCTAAAGCTTTTACCTTCATTCATCATACGAAGGTTCTTCACTGCATGATAAACAATATTTCAGTCGACTGGATTTTTTTTAAAGAAACGTTAAACAAAGTTGTATGAAATTCTGATATGTACCCAAGAGTTGTTTGTTATCAGTTTAAAGTTGAACTCCATCGAAATCACAATTGGATTCTCATGATAAATTGGATCGTGTGCAAAAATGCAGCTTCACAAAGTAACAAGATATGAGAAATGGCAGAACAGAACCATTTGTTCAACGAGAAGCTTTCTTCTTTCCAGCAACGACGATCTGCTTTGATTTCATGGTCCTAGCGTTGGTCTTTGTTCGCTGGCCTCTACACGGCAATCCTTGGCCATGCCTAATCCCTCTGTGGCACTGAATTTCCTGCAGCCTAGCGATATCCTTCTTAACACAGCTATTCTGCAGCACAGGGACGCAAAGAACTTTCCTGTTAGGCACACATATGTGAAATTCATGGACGGGCATAAGAAAGTTAGAGAAAGAGAGCCACTGAAGATTTACCAACTCGTGTCCGACCATGTACTTGGAAATTTCGTCGCCAAGAATAACGAGTTCTCTCTTAGTCAAATCCTTGGCAAGCTTGTTCCCCAAGTGAAGCTCTGCAAGAACTTGGTTCGCTCTCGATCGGCCAATTCCATCAATATACTGAAGCGCAAATCTGAGAGGCTTGTCATCCGGAATCTCCATACCCGCTTTTACATGAATGGACTCGATCTGCAAATATCAATCATCAGATTCCTCCATCTCATTCAAACATACAAAACCTTCTAACAGACCAATGCATAAACTGAAAATCAAATCGAATAAGAAAACTCGACATACAGGAAGGAAAATTCCGGAATTATCATCCAGAGATTCACAAGCCCTAAACCCTAAAATTCTAGTCACATAGCAATGAACAAAGAATAACGCAAGTTTATAGAACTCACTGATTGAGAGCGCCGAAGAGCGGCATTAGAGACGATTCCAAGGGAACGGCGAACTCCAAACATATCGGCAAGCGGAGGATTCCAGTGATGCGGAAGCGAGATTCCAAACTGGGAGGGGAAGAGAGAGCTTGTGAATGTTCTTTGCCAACACGAAACCCGCAGCGCGGCCCAGGAAAGCCCACTATTTCAACACGGCCCGCAATATCGAACCCAACCCAGTCGCCCAAAAAAGACCCAGTAGACACAAGTGTCCATCATGGGCCCATCTAGAGGCCCAATTCCGCCGGATTATCAGATTCTAAACCCTAATTAGCGATGTTAACCACCGTATTACATAAAACAAAATCTGTTTGATACTGTTTGAGAGGTTGAAAATGTTAAAATATTGATGTATTGTAAGCGAGAACTTGACATTCCAAGACAACAAATAAACTACTCAATGTAGGATAATGTCATTAGATGATGAAGTTATTTAGGCTCTTATTTACTTAATTAGTACAAAAATTACAGTTATTTAGGAAGTTTTTCTTTTAACTAATGTCAATTAAGTATACTATTTCAATTTTTTGATATGGTATAAAACTGTATTTAGTTATATCGTTCCAGCTTCAAAGATTTCTCTTGGTGTGATGATCAGATATAATTTTCTTGTAATCTAAAAAAAATTGTTGGAGTAAAATACATGTATTTGAGGGGGGTGCCACATGTCCGGTGTCAATTATGTGAAGTTTACACCACCATTGAATTCTAAAAATGATTGAAGGGACTGAAACAATGTAGTTAAAAAATTCATAGGGTTAAATATATAAGAGGGAAATTGAAAATTCAAGCATGCATCCAATTACTTCCAACGTTAAACCAGTTCCAAGAATTGAGGAGGACTTTTCCTCCAGGGACAGACAAAATGGAAATTCTGGAAGAGATGAACAATCCTGGCCGTCCATCATCCACCCAAGAGACGAAGGAACGGCTGAGATGGGAATTAAACGAAGCCCTTCTCTCATCCCTCACACCGGAAAACACCCATTCAACGCGGAGCCACCGCTGGACCTTCTCATGCGCCACGGCTTCATCACGCCCGTCCCGGTCCATTACGTCCGCAACCACGGTCCGGTCCCGACCGCCAACTGGTCCGAATGGACCGTGGAGGTCTGCGGGCTGGTCGAATCGCCGACCAAGTTCACCATGGATCAATTAATCGCCGACTTCAACTCGCTGGAGTTCCCCGCCACCCTCGTCTGCTCCTCCAACAGACGAAAATAATTAAATATGCTGAGCCAAACCATAGGGGTCAGTTGGGGAGCTGCGGCGATCTCCACCTCAATCTGGCGCGGCGTTCCGTTGCGGGACGTTCTTAACCGATGTGGGATCTTGAAAGAAGTGCCGGCGCTACACGTTTGTTTTGAAGGCGGCGAAGATCTGCCGGGCGGCGGCGGATCCAAATACGCCACCAGCATCAGGGAAGAGGTGGCGATGGATCCGACGAGGGATATTATGTTGGCTTATCTGCAAAATGGGGAGCGTGAGGGAGGATGGTGAAATGGCTGAAGCGGATTATTGTGACCGACGAAGAATCGGAGAATTATTATCACCGGATGGATAATCGTATGCTTCCCTCGCATGTTGCAGACTTCGATTTGGCGAACTCCGAAGGGTGTTGGATCAAACCGGAATATGTTATCTATGAAATGAATATCAATTCTGTGATTACGACGCCGTGCCACGGCGAGATGTTGGCCGTTGATTCGCCCACGGCTCTAAGGTCGTACACGGTCCGGGGATTTGCTTTTTCCGGTGAGATTTTAGTTTAAATTACAAAGTTAATATTTATAATTTGAGTTTAATTTCAATTGGGTACTTATAATTTCAATCATTTAATTGAACTTCTTTATTTGAATTTAGTTTTAATTGGGTCCTAAATCATTTTAAAAGTTTTAAATATTTTTAAATTATTTTCAAAAGTGTACTTAATTCTTCGTTTTATTTAAATGTAAATCATATGGTAGTTTTTTTTAGTACCAATCATACACCGTAGTTCATTAACCTAATCGAGAAAAAAAAACTTAAATAACATTAATGATTCACTCTAAAAAATTTGATTTTTAGAAACTAAACGATAGTGATGAAAATAAAATTGGTAGAATCATATATATGATCCAATTTAAGTGAAACTAGTCCTGATCAACTAAAAAGACTGAATTAAAATTTTTAAAATTGTAAGGATTAAATGGCAAATTTGTCCAACTTATCGAACGGAATTTGCAATTTCACCTGAGATTTATCGTTATTAATTTTATTTATTGAATATTTGGTGAATGGTTTTTATGTGTTTGAGAATTAAATAGGTGGTGGGAGGAAAGTGACACGTGTGGAGATGACGATGGATGGTGGAGTGACGTGGCAATTGTGTGAGTTGGAACACGTGGAGAAACCGAATAAATATGGAAAATATTGGCGTTGGTGTTTTTGGTCATTGGAAGTGAAGGTTGTGGAGCTGTTTGGGGCAGAGGAGAT